TTGGAACCCTCATAAAATATATACAATGCTGCTATAGTTGGAACAGACTCAATGACGCTTGACAACAACAACACATCCTTTAAAACACTGATAGTCTCCAACTAAAGACAGAGATCTATTCCTGCAACTCCGAGGTAAGTTGAATGACCTATTTTTGCTTTTGTTTTTTAAAGTTTTCATTATTATTGCCTTTTGTTACCATTTTCTCGATAAACCTGATCTTTATTAGCCTTTGGGGACTGGAAACATTACATAAAAACTTACAGGTATATTTTAATACATATATACAAGGGGGCTTCAAAAATCATGGAAAAATTCCATTATCTTTTAATTCAAAATGTTAACGAAATTTTTTAAGCCCCCTCATAATATACATTAAAATATGAACATTCATTCCAAAACAAAGGACAGTGTTGTTATTTTGTCAGTTATAGTAGTAACTGCACTTGCGGAAGATTCTGGCTCATCTGGATTATTCCTGGGAATAGGGGTAGCACTTTCTAGTCCGAAAATCAGTAAGAATGTCTGCATGGCTGTTGTTGCTGTTAAGTACTGTCTAGACAGTAATGGCTCATAGCAACCCTGTATACAGTTTCCAAGGAACAACTGGTGAATTTGAAGCGCCAATCTTCACTGTTTAGCCTACAGCGCCATACCAGGACTCCTTATACACATTATGCAGTACATATTACTAATAAGATACACAAAAATAAAGGACAGTTTTAAGTGTGGTTTGTCATAATTTTGCTGCTGTGTGCTACTGAGTGGGCTAAAGGCTGTAAATCTTTATGGGAGCAGAAAGCCTCTAATACACCACAAAATCGGGGACCACCTGCAGCTGAGGAGTGGGCATTTGCCCTACCTGGCTGGTTTCCTGTACTCATCTGCTGCTGCTCCTCCACCTGGTTCTAGAAGTTATTTGGAGTTGGCCTTCCTCTACACTCTCTTTACTCTTCTTCCTCCTCAACTTACAAATACCCCCACACCCATTCTCAATCCTCAAACTCCTATATCACGTGTCAAAATGAACTCTCAAGAGATGGAAGAACTAAAAGTCGAGACAGAGATGGCCTTTGCATGACGAGTCACTTCTTTTAGATTGTCAACACCACTCATGGCACCTGATTCATCTCTGCCTGGTACAGACAGGGCTTATGATGTCTAACAAATTCCACCCCCAATTCTATGTAATGCTCCTGTGACTTTCCCTGTAAGGAAAAAGGCATATGCCTCTTCCTCTATCCTAGGATTACTCTCTCCCTCCCACCCCTCTCTAAATAGGTCAGAAACCTTTTATGGGAAATAGTGATCAGATTTGGGTTTTCTAACTTTCATTTGTTTTTTTTTTTGTTTCAAAATCTTTTCAGAAAGCTCAACCTTGTTCCTTTGAATGACAATTCATTTGGGGAATGTACTTTTGAGGTCCCCTGATACAACCCACACACTTTACTAATGAAGACAATGAGCCCCAGTACAGTTAAGTCACTTGTTCAAGGTCACACAGTTAGAGTAGAACCAGAATTAGAACATTTGTTTCCAGTGACTGGTCCCATAGATTTTCCATGATAACACTATCCCCTACTGTGGTTTTCCTTCTCAAATAACCTCCTTGCCAAGACACCTATTAACATGGAAAGCTACTAGCTGCTATAGAAATAAATCAACTGAAAATTCAGTCCAACTATTAGAGGGATTACTTCAATTTTCAAGGAAGGAATTGGGAGTTTCTGGGCTATTTTTGTTTCTTTTAGTGTGAATTAACCAGTGTCTATTTACTACAAAGGAGCTCTGGTAGCGTAGTGGTTGCGAATCGGGCTGCGAGCTGCAAGGTAAGCAGTTCGAAACTACCAGCGGCTCTGCGGGAGAAAGATGAGGCGGTCCGCTCCCGTAAAGATTTACAGCCTCGGAAACCCTGTGCAGGGTCGCTATGAGTCGGAACCGACTCCACGGCACATAACAACAACAACAACATTTATTACAAGCAAGGAGCTCTGGTAGCGTAGTGGTTCTGAATCGGGACTGAGAACTGCAAGGTCTGCAGTTCGAAACTACCAGCTGGTTCATGGGAGACGGATGAGGCTTTCTGCTCCCGTAAAGATTTACAGCCTCGGAAACCCTGTTTAGGTCGCTATGGGTCAGAACCGACTCGACGGCACTTAACAACAACAACAACAAATTTACTACAAGCAGGGATGCTAACGGTAAGGTCGGCAGTTTGAATCTACCAGCCACTCCGGGGGAGAAAGATGAGGCTTTCTGCTCCCATAAAGATTTACAGCCTTGGTAACCCTGTTGTTGTTGTTATATGCCTTGGAGTCGGTTCCGACTCATAGCGACCCTGTACAGGGTTTCCAAGGCTGTAAATGTTTATGGGAGCAGAAAGCCTCATCTTTCTCCCACAGAACAGCTGGTAGTCTCGAACTGCTGACCTTGCGGCTCGCAACCCGATTCGTAACCACTGAGTCAGCACCAACTTGGTGGCACACAACTACCACCACTACCACAACTTTACCCTAATTAAAGGCTGATACCATTCGGTTCTTCTCCAACGCCATAAAGTAGAGATAGAAAACATGTCTATTTATAACAGCAACATCTTTCTTTCCCCAACAAAAAGTCTGCAGCCAGGAGCTGCCTCAAACCTCTATCAGTCTCTGGCAAATTAGTGTCTTAAAATTAAATCTGGTCTCAACTTTAAAGTATTCCTCTCTTCCTAGCCCAACCTTTTTGCTTTAATTATGGACAACATTGGATTTTTGACACCAAGTCTTTCTGTAATATTCTACCTACTCTGCATTTTAGCTTTTATGTCCAACTGTCGTCAATCCTTAACATTTACATTGATTAAACGTAAAACCAAGTGAAACTCATTGCTGGCCACTCCAAGGCAGAACTGTCCCATCAGGTTTCCAAGGCTGTAATCTTTACTTGGGGAGAGCCAGGTGGCTCCATACAATAAACAATGGAGGGCAAACCAAATAAGGTCAGCGGTTCGAACCCACGAGCTGCTCAGCGAGAGAAAGATGAGGCTTTCTGCTCCCGCTAAGATTTTTTTTTTTCTTGAATGTTTTATTGTGAATTATGTGATAGTTTACATGGGAGAACATTAGTTTTACATTCATTCTATCGTATATCGTCTCATTGCCATGGTTGCAATCCCCTCCATGCAATCCTTCCCCTGTACCCCCCAGGTCTTCAGCACACAGTCACTCTCCCTATCTGGATCTAAAGTCTCCAGCTGCTCCATTGCTCCACGTCATCATCTCTGCCTCCATTTCAGGCATCACTGCTTCTCTGGGTAGGGTCCCGCTCTCTGCTCTTCTCCCTTGATGGTCCTAGGGACCTCTGCTCCTAGACTGAAAAGTTAATCACTCCCCTCCTTGCTATAAAACGTCTACCTTTACATTTCCCACCCTCACAAACTGTCCTGATAACAATTATTCACTATTGTATCACAAGAGACCCATCTGCATTTCATTGCATCAGCCCTGCCTAGACAGATTGAATACTACTCACTGGAGATTCTACCTTCCTCCAGGCCCTCTGGATCTAGGTTCCCTCTTGAAAGCTTGTAAGCCAGTCACTTCTTGCCTTTGTAGCCCCCCATTTTGGGTAGCCAATGTCCAAGTTGCCCATCCCTGTCTACTCTGTGTGTGAAGGGGGTGGGAATGATTCTTGCTGTAAGGACTTGTTCCCTCTTTTGAGCTTCTGCTTCCATAGGTGTAGGTCAAGTTCATCAAATTGTATGAGAATACTTTTTTTTTTTTTTTCCCTCTTCTTTTTACTTCTGGTTGAGCTCTGTCCCGCTAAGATTTAAAGCCTCAGAAATCCTATACAGGGTCGCTATGAGTCTGAACTGACTTAATGGTACTTAACAACAACAAATCTTTACTGGAGCAGACTGCCACATCTGTCTCCCTGCTGAGCGTAGATTGTTGGGTTCGAACCACAGTCCTTTCAGTTAGAAGTTGCACTCTTAGCCACTGCACCACCAGGGCCACTTTAATTGAACACCCACCAGCATCACCTCACCGCCCCAGTATTTCCCCTTGAGAGCTTAGAGCATCTCTGCTGCTCGATTTTATTTTCCTTCCAGCTTTACCCGGGTGTGCACTTTTGTTTTAGTGGTGTTTCCCAATCAGCTCCCTCGCATTCGGCACCAGGAATGCTCACCCTGAGGTTGAAACCCCACCAGTTAGGGAAATATAAGGGTTTTTCCAAAAGTTCGTGGGGAAAACCTCATGATCTTGGAACTCTATGTTTTACACGAACTTTAGGAAGCCCCCCTCGTCTGACCGGTTTTAACACGGGAGTGGTGGAACCAATTCCCATGTGAGCTAGGCCTCAGGCAGGTTGGAGCCTGGGTCTTCGGCACGCCCACCTCAATCCTTAGGAGCTGCCCCACCAGCCCAGTGGACGAGGTGAAGGTGGGTGGTGCACAAGAGGAGAGGCCCCAAGAATGGTGCTGACGCCCAGGCCCGGGGTTCTATCAGCCCCTGCCCAGCTGCGGCTGGGCTCTTCCTAGCATCTAAGGCGTACAACCCAGACCTCTAAGTGCATTTCCGTAACAGTTCGAGTCCCACCACCCAGGCTAAAGGGGAACTGCCACTGCATCATTTCTTCAGCCTCAAGATGTTTAAACAGCTCTCAGCCAACCACAAACATCGAAATACGAATACATGAAACAGCCACCCTCATTTCCACTCCCCTCTGAAGTTTTCAGGGCAGTGACGTTTGGATCAGGTCTGAAGGCAACGAAATCGGCAGTTTTAGGGGGTCCCGCCTGAGACGAGAGTCGTCGAACGCGGTTTCTGGTTCTCCTGGTTGGCCCCTCGCCTATGTGAGAGTGCCAGGCCTGCTTCTCTGTGCCCTCAAACGAGTCCTCTCTGCCCCGGGACCCCCCAACCCGACCGCGTTTGCCCCGAGGCTGCGGGGTCTGCGGAGGCCCCGCGCCCCTGCCGGCTGGTCCCCGGAGCCCTAGAGGCCCGGCTGGCACTCACCGAAGTCCAGGAACTGTTTGATGGAGAGCGGCGACGGTGAGAAGCGCGAGTAGCGCTCGATTTGCTTGGGCACTGGCTGCTTCAGCAGCCACTGGAACAACCGCATCCTGGCTGGTGCGCCTTGTAGACCCGCTGAGACGCCGGGACTGCCACGAGGGCCGGCGCCGCCGAGCCTCGCGGGTCTGGCACGTCCGTCAGGCGCGCACTCGGGCTTCCACCTCGACCTCGGCACAGCGGGTGCAGCCGCCGCCGCAGCTCCGGGCCGGCACCCGCCGCTCGCGGCTTCCCCAAGCCCCGCCCCCGGGGCGGGGCCAACCGCCGCACGTACGCAGCACGCGAGGCTGAGAGGACGCTGAGGGCGCGCGGCTTTAGGCTCTGGTTGCTGGTTGGCGGCCACAGCTTTCCTTGGGTGGTCTTTTAAGCCGGTGCCTCTATCCTTGCTCCCGAGACATTCTAGGTCTTCGGCGAGCGAAAGGGGGCCGAGGTGCAGGGGGCCCGAGAGCAGGCCCGGAGCCCAAGTCCGGAATTGAGCTCTACATGCCTCACCAGGCCCTTCGCAAGCGAAAGCAACTCTTCCGGGAGGCCTTACTCGCTGACTGTTGCGATCAAGGGTCTTTGCTGCATCTTGACACTTAGATTTTCACTTTCCATTGATCACAGAATTTACTGGCTTTTCATGTCCCCTCACCTTTAACCTTACCTTTGGATAGATTTAAATGTGAATTTTTTTTCATAACCCCCATGTCCCCCTAATACACAATCATTGGACAGGACCAATTCTTAGGTCACTGACCCTGTGTCGTGTCTCCCTCCCTCGCCGTCACTATTGGACAAGACCAATTCTTAAGTCTCTGACTTTCTGTGACATGCTTCCCTGACCCCCTCCCCCTCCCCCCAGTTACTATTGGTCAATCTGTCATGTTATGTCACTCTGTTATGTTTCTCCCCCCTTCCCCCCCAAACACACACACCTTTGGACAGGACTAATTCTTAGGTCACGTGTTGTGTTCCCCCCCCCACTACCATTGGACTGGACCAATTCTTAGGTCACTGACTCTCTGTGTCGTGCCTTCCCCGCTCCTGTCCCCGCCCCTAACCCACCACACACACTGTTCTTGTTAAGTGTCGTGGAGTCGGTTCCGACTTATTGCGACCCTGTAAGCAGGGTTTCTGAGGCTTTAAATTTTTTCGGGAGCGGCTGACAGGCTTGAACCACGGGCCTTGTGTTCACAGTCCCTTGCTTATCTATGGAACCACACACACCATTGGGCAGAACCAATTCTTAGGTCACTAACTATGTGCCATGCCCGTCCCCTGCCACTGGACAGGACCGATTCTTAAGACATTCTCTATGTCATGTCTACCCAACCCCGACACACAACAACAACACCGCCATTATTGTTGTTAGTGCCGTTGGGTCGCATCCGACTCACAGCGACCCTGTATAGGGTTTCTGAGGAGCGGCTGGCAAATTTGAATCACCTATCTTACAGTTCAAACGGACCTTGTGGTCAAGCACCACCACCATTGTTGTTGTTGTTAAGTGCCATCGAGTCAGTTTCGACCAATAGCGACCCTGAACAGGGTTTCTGAGGCTGTAAATCTTTACGGGAGCAGATCGTCTCATCTTTCTCCCACGGAGCAGCTGGTAGTTTCGAACTGCTGACCTTACGAGTTTCAGCCCGATTCGTAACCACTACGCTACCACCACCATTGTAGAGGACCAATTTCTTGTGTCATGCCTCCCTGGCTCCTACCATTGTACAGGACCACTTCTTAGGTTACTGACCATCTGTGTTGTGCCTTCCTCCCACCCTTCCCCTCGCGGACCCCCTGCATTACTGCACAGAACGAATTCTTAGGTCAGTGACAACGTATGGCATGCCTGTCTCTCTCAGTCCCTCCACTCACCACCGCGCTCACCTTCCCATCCTATATCCCTCTCCCACTTCTCAGTATATTTGTTGTTGTTGTTGTTGTAAAGTCCCAACATATTTGGACAGGACTCTGCTTGATGCCCCCCACCACCACCACAATCATTGACCAGATCTCACTGGAAAGTTATGATTTTATGCCTTGTCATCACCAGTGCAACCATGTAAACCCATGGCCGTCAGGTTGATTCTCACCCATAGCAACCATATGGTATGTAGTAGAACTGCCCCCATGGGGTTCTCGAGGCTATAATCTTTATGAAGCAGACTGCCACGTGGGAGAGGTCTTATCATCTTGGTTTCTAAGGAGCATTCTGGCTATACTTCTTCCAACACAGATTTATTTGTTTTTCTGGAAATCCATGGTACTTTTAGTATTGCCCAATACCATAATTTAAATAATTAATTCTTCTACAGTTTTTCTTATTCATTGTTCAACTTTCACATGCATATGACATTCGAAGCTATCAAAATTACCTTGACTTGGGTCACGCACACCTTAGTCCCCAAACTGATATATTTGCTCTTGAACAGTTTAAAGAGGACTTGTGCAGCAGATTTGCCTAACACAATATGCCGTTTGATTTCTTGACGGCTGCTTCCATTAGTATTGATTGTGGATCCAAACAAAAAGAAGTCTTCGACAACTTGAATCTTTTCTCCACTTACCATAATGTTAGTTATTGGTCCAGAAGTGAGGATTTTTGTTTTCTTTGTTTTAAGGTGCAATCCATACTGAAGACTGTGGTCTTGATCTTCATCAGTAAGTATTTTAATTTCTCTTCTCTTCCAGAAAGCAAGGCTGTATCATCTGTATATCACAGGTTGTGAATGAATTTTCCTCCAATCCTGATACCATGTTCTTCATATAATCCAGTTTCTCTGAATATTTGCTCAGCATACAGATAGAATAAGTATGGTGAAAGAATATAGGCCTGGTGCACGCCATTTCTGTTTTTGAACCATTCAGTATCCCCTCTTTCTGTTCAAATGACCACCTCAAAAGTACTCTGCAGGTACTTCATGAGCACCACGAGGACCCACTTCTGGAACACCCATTCTCCGCAATGTTAATCCATACCTTTGTAACGTTATCTATATCCATACAGTCTCAAGCCTTTTCATAGTCAATACAGCACAAATAAACATTTTTCTGATATTCTCTGCTTTCAGCCAGCAATAATACTGATGTTAGCAATGATAGTCCTCATTCCATGTCCTATTCTGAATCCAGCTTGAATTTCTGGCAGTTCCCTTTCAATGTACTGTTGCAGCCGTTTTTAAATTATCTTTGGCAAAATCTGACTTGTATGTAATATTAATGATAGTATTTGATGATTTCTGCATTCCATTGGGTCACATCTCTTTGGAATGGACACAAATATGGATCTCTTCCAATTGGTTGGCCAGGTAGCTGTCGTCCAAATTTCTTGGTGTAAATGAGTGAGTGCCTCCATCAATTTGTTGAAATATTTCAATTTGTATTCCCTAAATTCCTGGAGCCTTATTTTTTGCCAATGCCTTCAGTGCAACTTGGACTTCTTCCTTCAGTTCTTGATCATATGCTACTTCTTGAAATTGTTCAACATCGATCATTTCTTTTTGATACAGTGACTATGTATTCTTTCCATCTTCTTTTGATGCTTTCTGTATCTTTCAATATTTTGCCCATAGAATCGTTCAATATTTCAAGTTGAGGCTTGAATTTTTTTCTTTTGTTCCCTTAGCTTGAGAAATGCTGAGTGTTTTCTTCCCTTTTGGTTTTCTAATTCCAGGTCTTTGCACATTACATTGTCTTCTCTAGTTGCTCTTTGGAAATTTCTATTAAGCCCTTTTACTTCTTCATTTCTTACATTTGCTTTAGCATCTCTACACCGGAGAGCAAGTTTCAGAGTCTCTTCTGACATCCACTTTGATATTTTATTTCTTTCCTGTCTTCTAAATGACCTTTTGCTTCCTTCCTGTATGATGTTCTTGATGTCATCCTACAACTCTTCTGGCCTTTGGTTATTAGTGTCTGTTCCTGAAATGGTCTCTAAGTTTAGGTGGGGTATACTTAAAGGTCATAGTTTTGCACTTCTGGATTTATTTTAATTTTCTTCAGCTTCAGTGTGAACTTGCATATGAGCAATTAATGGTCTGTTCCACAGTTGGCTCCTGGCCTTGATTTGGCTGGTGATATGGAGCTTTTCCACCGTCTCTTCCCACAAATGTAGTCAATTTGATTACTGTGTATTCCATCTGGTGATGTCCGTTTGTATAACTGTCTTATATGTGTTTAAGAAAGGTATTTGCAATGAATAAGTCATTGGTCTTGCAAAATTCTATCATGCAATCTCCAGCATCATACCGATAACCAAGGCCATATTTTCCAATGACTGATCCCCCCTCTTTGTTTGTAACCTTTGCATTCCAATCACCAGTAATTGTCAATACATCTTGATTGCATGTTTGATCAATTTCAGAATGAAGAAGTTGGCAGAATGCTTCAATTTCATCATCGCTGGCATTGGTGGTTGGTGCGTAAATTTGAATAATAGTGGTATTAACTGGTCTTCCTTGTAAGGTGAATGAACATTATTATCTTATCACAGACAGCATTGCATTTCATGACTGGATTTGATGAATTTTTTTGTTAATTCCTTGTATACATATGGTCTTGCACAGGCCCAACTCTCAGTGGCTTCTCAAAGTGAAGGCATCAGTATCACCTGAGTACTTATTAGAAATTCAAATTCTTGAACCCCACCAGACCTACTGAGTCAGAAACTGTAAGTGGGGCCTAGGTATGTACTTTACAACAGTAACACTCAAAGCATTGTTATTATTTGATTAATGACTATTATGGTTGATATATGTCTACTTATCTAAGCTATGATTCTCAGTGCTTTGGCATGTGTTCTTCCATAATTCAATCACTTTCCATTTGGTGATCTGATGTGAGTCAATCAGCTGAAAGTGGAGGTTCTTTTGAGATAGGCTGCTTTCATTATAGAAATGAATGCCTGGCAAAGCTCACTCTCTGGATCCCCAACTGTTCTCATTGCTTGACCTCTGGTTTTTGGTGTGTCTACAGTCTATGCCCTGACCAGCAGATTTTGGGTTCACCAGCCCCCACAATCCCATGAGCCAGCAGACATCTCCAGCCTGCTGCCTTACCTGCATATTTTGGGCTTGGATCCTCTGCAACCTCTTGAGCCACCAGAGTTCTTCAGCTTGCCACTTGACCCATGGATTTGTGACTTCCAAACCCCCACAAATGCATGAGTCATTTCCTCACAATTTTGTGAGCCAACTCCTCAAAGTAAATCTCTCTATACGTACAAGAATAAGTCAAAAAGTATTGCTGCCAGGGTTTTAATGAATAAATGC